CCCCGGCCGGGCCCGGGCAGGGTCCCTGCATCGGCACGCGGTGTCGAGGTGGAGGGTGTAGGGGGTGGGATTTATCCCCCCCCAAAAGTAGGTGGCGGTGGTGGGATTCGGAATTGCGTAATTAATAAAAAGCCATTTCGGTGGGCAGATTTATGGCGCTGCCATGTTAACAAGGGAGAAGGAGCGTTTCCAGCGCCGCTGTTAACGCTTCACATTCTGTACACAATCCACCACTACGCTTGATAAATTAAAGTAGTAAAAGATCTGAAGACTGTAATCTATCATTTTAATGCTTCGCTGATAAGGCACAGAATCAATTTCAATGACTATCTCTTTTTAAAAAATTACAACTAAACTCCGTACCCTGTTTGACGCCTAATCCAGTGTACCAGCAAGTACCACACATTAGCTAACACAAAGCACAACATCTCAGTTTACTGAAAGGATCTGAATTCCAAGTTCAGACTAACCTTACCTTTTAACCCACAGTGTTCCCAGGGCCTGCCTGAAGCATAAACTGCACAAGCAACTACACGGGGACCTGCACAGGCTCAGCAACTCACAGACTGCCTGACCTGCCTCCTTGGCAGATTAAGGGTCTCACAAATCAACTGTGTGGGAGGATTCAAAAAAAGTTGGTCTTTCCTAATGGTAAACTGCATCTCTAAAACAAAGGTATTTCAAATATTAACGCTGACATGCCCAACTCCTTGTCCACAAATGGCAGTATTTTAGTGTACTTCTTTTTGGTGTTTCAACCAATGCTTTGGCAGTAAAACAGCAGGTAGCTCTTACTAATCCACGAAGCACTGAAGATCTCTGTTGCAGTTTATATCAGAATTCCACATACTAACAAGGTATCCAGACTTGACAGTGCAAAAGTATATATAAAGTACAGATAAAATGTTTCCCACTACTATGGACAAAAACATCTTTTTACCTGCCATTTAGCTCATATTGACTTAGCAAAAATTATAGGGTTTAATATACTTTCTGAAATATTCATAAAATTACTACCTCCAAGTCAGAATGCTATCAGGGCAGAAGTAACACACAGGCCAAGTAATTACATCAGCAAAAGAATCCAGCCTTCATTGTGTAGCAGCAAAACATTAATTAACAATACTAAATTTATGTGAAAAATAAATCATTGGCTAAATCATGATATAAAACCATTTGAAAACAGAATACTGAAGAGTTGCACTGTTGCACATAAATTGCCCTCGATTTCCCTATGAAACTGCACAAAATGTACAGTGAGCATTAAAAGGTTATTGCATGCATGAACTGAGTAATAGTTTACCCTCAAAGCTCAGCTTAATTTTTCTAAATCTGAAGAACAATACAAGATAGCAAAATTCCCTGAAAGATCACAAACCTAGAGCTATACAGAGTGCTGCTGACATTCAAGAAAAGAGCAACAGGCACTATATGGCTGCTTGTGTTCCATATGTTAATTACCATCTACTTAATTTCCTAGAATTACAATTCCAAAAGAAGTGGCTAAGAAGAACATTTCCATAGAATTATGATCAATTACAGTTTATAATGTTCAATATACACAAGGCAACCATCTGACCACATTCACTGAAACCACATAACATGTACAGCACAATCTTCTTTCAGAGGCCGTGTCTGTAAACTGCAGCTGCACACCACTCTTGATTGCAAGTGCAGATTTCTCCTGATTAGAGAGAGGGAAGTTGAAAGTTCATCATTAACCAAAAAACCTCAAACATGCATATCAACCCCAGTCCAAATATCTATCCCCTTCCACGGTTTTCTGCACAGATAGAAACTAAAGCAACAAAACTAACCAGAAAGGATACAAATTTTATCTAAAAAAAAAAACAAAACCCAAACTGGATAATTAACATAGTTACAAAATATATCATCTTTTGGACAGTGTGGTTTAATATTTCATACAGAATCCCAGAAAAAGTGCTTTAATTGAACCTTCAATATATTTTGCCATAATCTTTATGTTAACAGGACTCCTACAAAGGTTCCAGGAAAGACATACTTATGAAACAGAGAACAAGGGAACATATAAGCCATTACAGAAGATTGGATTAAAATGTACTTACCCAGGCCTCTCAAATATCATACATCTCCATTAAGTAGGCTTTAGGCACCAAGCCAATGGTTCCATCCATTTCTCCTACCCACCAGCCATAGCTATCGTACTCCTAATTGAAAACAATATGCAGTATTAACCTTTATTCTGATATAAATGCAATAGAGTTCTGTATGCAACTCCTTATGGATGCTTTCTCTTATATACAGTTATAATCATTTCAACTGAAAATTAAAACATTATATCTTTTTGTTACAGGCATTCACATGCAGTTAGGCAAAGGCAGAAACTAAATTTTAAAAGAGCCAGGCATACTCAGGAAAATCTCTTAATTACGACCATGCTTCTCTAACACCTACTAAAAATAGCCAACCTCCTTACCCTGTATTCATCACAAATATTAAAACCTTACCTTTGTAACTAAAACCTAATAGCACAGCATTGACATACAAGAATCAAATGGGATTCTTTCAGTAGCACAAGGCTAAACTCTAACTTAAAATCAACTTATTTTAAAAACTACTTCGCTCAAATGTGAAGGGAACACTATATATCTAATACATAATCTCTTTCTACGGACAAAGTCTACTACTGCTTTAGGCTTGCAGAAAATTCTACGGCAGATCTCATATGCCTGACAGATGACTAATGTACTTTTGTTTGAAATTTGTTTAGGCTTAGTGAGATAAATATGAAACAAAATGAATTATAATAGTTTAAAGAAATAATATCTTCCAAAAGCAATACCAAGTAAGAGTATTGTGGTATCCAAATTTAATTTTTTCCTATGAGATAAATATTTTAAGATCAATCCTAACAGTGGTTCAATAAATTGTAACAGCTGAAATTGCACACACACATATATTGAGTTACAAATGAAGCATTATTAAAACAGAAACCCCATTCAAAACTGAATGATTAGTAAGATAGAAATTACTTTAGAACAAATATGGAAAATACAAAATATACATATATCTCTCTGTGATAAGCAACATCTGCTTCCTACTACGCTGCTATTTTGATAAGAAGAGCAAAAGGCTGTAGGATTTTGAATTACTGAGTAGGTTAGTCCTACTGAGATGAAGCTATTATTTTGACTGTAGATAAAGTTTTTTGGTTATAAATAGTCAAGCGGAGCTTAAGGGTTAATGGAGTTTCATTAGAGCCCGAGCTATAATGATTTGCTGCTGGCATATTTGGCCTGGTCGAGAGTTCTCTGGGGTCCTGTGAGGTGCTTAGTGTACTCAGCTCTCCCCGAGCTTAACTACGATGAAGCCCTGCTGATGGCCCACTTTCATGTGGGCCCAGGCTTTTTGCCTTTTTTTTCCTTCCCTTTTGCTTTTTTATTTTCTTTTCAACACACTTGCATGCAGACACACGCACACTGTACTTTCTTATTGTGAAAGACTGAACACTAGACTTGAACATTTTCTTCTTTCTCTTCACAGTGAATCAGTGATTTAAAAGATTCTATCCTACTATCCATAAGATACTTCTATAAGTGTGATTTAAAGGAAATCCACATACAAAGCAGCAGGAAAACCTTCATTTATGATGTGAACATGCAAATAAGAAAGCTGCAAAAATAATTCCACCTTCCTCCCCTTTCCATGCAGAACAGACCACTGAGGTCTGGTCTCAAAAGTCAAGAGGTGTCTCAACCTGATCTTCAGTGCACATTGCTCTCCACAGAAGTTAAGAACCACTCATAACCTTTCCCATGGGGCTTCACATTACACCCCAAATCCTTAAAAGCGAAACAATACCCTGACATGGAGGTTTATAATGTTCCAGACAGATCAGCCTGTTTAAAAATCTATGTTTTATCTCACAATACACCGTTCAAATATACAAACTGGATTTCAAGACTAAAGTGGGAAATTGCTGAAAGGAGCAGCACTCACGTATGCTACTGGAAACTCAGCAATAAATCTCTCCAAGAGAAAGCAACAAAAGATTTTAAGCTGCTACATGGAATTTGCGTAGTGACTGACAAGAGTCATTAAGCAAGTTTTGCTAGACATCAGCCAAAAAAACAAACAATACATGAACTGAGGGAAGTGGCTTAGTTAAGTGGTCATTAAATTGCATATGACAAATGGCAAAGAAATAGCCTGTGGATTATATTACCCATTGAAAATGTTCCACTTAGCAACACTACATGAACTTAGAAACAATTGTTTTCAAAGAAACAACTGAGATACCTCAAATTAAAATTAAAAGCATGCTGCTGTTTTGAAAACTTTCTGGTTTTTGCTACTTACTAATACACCACTTACTGCTCTGGCATGAAGCTAAGTGCGAAGATGAAATGAATGTTGATGTAACAGACTAGTAAACTAATTTAAGGATTCACTGGAACCATTATACCATACAGACAACATTGCAACACAGAAGCTTTTACTTTACATTACTATTCTTTGCATGGGTCTCAAGAGCAACATGAATCCCAATTAAACTATCTGCACTCTATACAAAGTCTGAACAAAAATATAATGCAGATACCTGGCTACCAAGAACATAAAACTTTAATCTCAGGTTTTAGAATAATTAGATATCACTCCCATTTAAACTGATTAAAGTACAGACATTTCTCTTTAAACTCCTAACCACTTCTTCCTGTCCCCAGTACCACGAAAGAGTGCTTAACTAGTGAGGCAGATAAGCAGCTCCCCTAGTCCTTTCTTGAAGTCACATATAAAATTAAAATTGATGTATTGTTTTTATCAATGTTATCAATTATAAACTCCTTCACAGCAATATAATTTAATTAATACACTGCTGTTGTGAGGTCCATATGTCTATTACTGCTGCTTAAGATGTGCCGAATAAAAGTCTACAGTCCACAACTGTGGGAAATAATTATTAATATGCAGAAGGATATGAATGCAGTTAGGAGTTTTATGTGAATTTTTAAGAGTTGGGAAGCACAGTGCTTTTGCAAGCATCAGCTTCAGATCTCAGGTACCACTGGGTTTACCATCTGGTATCCCTCACTGCATTCAGCTCTTAACATCACTGCTAACATAGGCAAGCGACTATACTTCAGAAGGACTGATAAAATAATGAAGAGTCCTTTAATCTACAGGAAACCATTGTAGTCAATTTATAAGAAATATTGCATCCCTTTGTAGGATGTGTAATTATTTTCTATTAATCATGTGCTATAAAGCTACATTATGTGGTTATTCTGTTATCACTAGAAAGAGGCCTGCAGTCAGCTCCTGACAATGTTAGGTAATTACTAACACAAAGCTTCTTTCTCCTTATGTAGAAACGCTATCAAGATCCAGAGGTGCTGTGATGCTTGCTGTATGAAAATAACTCTCCAAAGAAATTCAATAACTGCAAAATGAATTGCTCCAAGGCAAATAGAGGGATACGAGAGGGGGGCAGGGCCAGATCCAGCCACCCTGCAGTGAGGAGAATGCACAAGTGTGCGGCCACGCTCTGCCATGTGACGGGGAGCACATTTGCCATACCAGGCAACGTTAGCAGGGCTGGGGGGAGGAAGGGGCCACCACAGCTCCTGGAAGACAAGCACCAGGGCAATGGAATATATTATACCAAATAACACAAAACAACCACCTTAACAAATGGCCAAATGCTTTCTAAGCTCCTTCTGCATTTCCACTGTCATAGAGTGGATTCTTTTTCCCCCCAGCAGAAATTTATTAACCAAAGTGAAGTAATTTCACCAGGCAGCAAGGAACATGTTATGACTTAACATTTAACATGCTGGCAAAACAATCTCTGTATAGAATGCTGTGATAGCGAGGGGAAAAATCCCATCAGGATTTACAGGCTCCTTAGAATTTTCTCAACAGAACACACTGTGAGCAGATGCTTTTCCTTGTCCCCATCCCACCAATTTCACTGCACTGATATAAATATACCCATGACTCGATGAGACACTGATCATAAAACCTTTTGCACTTGGGCAAAATGCAGTAGTTAGAAATACACTCTGTTTTCTATAGATATCTTTTAAATCCAACATTTTAGCCCTCTATAGAGGAGAATTTTGATATGCAAAAAGAGAAAATTTTTATACTCAAGGATTTCCGTAACAGTCTCTACCTTTAGAACAGATCTTCTGCCTAAATGAGGTTCTCCAGATGCTTTGCACCATATTAACTTCTACTGACTTCAGCAAAAGTTGAGAACATCTGGGTTTTGTGCAATTAGTCCCTATTGTTCAAAGCATGTGGTATGTCTTTTTTGTATTTGTGGGGTGAGTTTTTTATTTGTTTTGTTTTTTAAAAAGAATTGCTGAAAAATCATCATTGTGTTTCAATGCCTTGAAGAAAACAATGGAGGTTTTTTTAAAAAAACATAACTGAAGTGTGTGAATTCAAGATTTTTCTCCTTCCCTCTTCCCAGTGTCATTATGAGTAATATTCACTTATGAGCTGAATAACTGCAAACCTTAAAAATGAAAAGCAAAACATATCTATAGCCTTGTTTTGGGTTAAAGTAAGTAGCCTCTACTACCAAGTTAAAGATGTGTGGGAAGCAGGGATAATTTTTTTTTTCAAAGAATATCCTGGGGGGCCATTTTGGCAAGATAATATTTTAAAACATCTCTAATTCATCCAGGAGATTCATACTAGCTAAAAAGTTTTAGAACTTCCTTTGGTGTAATTGTTGAATGATACAGTATCAACTAGGGAGCAGTTTTGGCACAGAACAGCATTTTCTCTAAAAAGCAGAAAATGACAAATGTTTTAGATAACTGAATGAGACTTCTTCACAGGTAGTAGAGTTGTTTTAAGACAGCAATAAAATGGTCATCTTTAAAAATATAAGCCTCAGATTTATTGTATGGTTGCATTATTAGGTTTTATTTCCCACAATGACATGAGACAAAATAGACACCAATTAAAGATTTCCAATATAAATCACGGTAAACAGACTGAATTCTGAACCAAAACTGTCCCCTGAAAACACCCTGGAACAATAGAAAGGCCATTTTATTTTCTATTAGATGACACAAGGTCAATTTTTTTTCTAACCAGGTAGGTAAGGGCTTACATATTATCAGTATGCAAACCAACAGTCAGTTTGCATTAGTCTTAACTAACCTTCTGTTTAAAGGCCTTCACTCTTATCTTGTGTTTAGACATGTTATTTCCCTCCTGCCCTGTAAGGAAATACCTAAACAAGCCAGAAAAACAGGTAATATACAACATAGTGCTGTATTTTAATTGGTCTCAGAGCACACATACTACACTTCTTTCAGATGAAACTAAACCGGAAGATGCACTTGAATGTGCTCCAACCCCTAAAATGTGTTCTCATTCCCCAAAACCAGGCCAGGCCTCTTCAGACATCAAATAGCTTTGAAAAAGCATGTTGTGGACACTGGAGCCTCAAACACTAAGTGTTTCACTCTGCAAAACTGCTCCTATTGGTACTCCCTACTTGCTAGGGGAGCCATAGGCAATATGGTCATGGAAACAGAAATTACTATTAAATAATGATCTCAGTGTAATCAGCCAGAAAACAGCCTGACAAAAGAAACAATCCAAATATTGGTATGTCTTTTGTAACTTTTGAAAAAATACTGAAAAATACATTTTATTAAGAGTATACACATAATATACAAAATGCTCACAGTGATTATGAAACAGCTGCACTGTTAAGTTGCACTTTATTCCATAAGCAGAAACCTGAGCTATGGAGGGAGATTCTTTGCTTGTCTTTTCACCAAGCAAAAAATGCAGGTTGACTTGTGAGCATTTTAACAGACATTTATTGTATTGAAAGAACAAAAATCTGCTACACTGGAAACATAGAACTACTGAATGAGAGGTAATCTAAACACCAGGTTAACACTCTACTTCCATGGAAAATTCTAGAGCAAAGGGTTAAGTCACAGATGAGATTTCCATGAATCATAAATACCAGAGTGAGCAGCATTGG